ACCATACGATTATACACAATTATAAATGTTATTAGATAATAAACATGGAAAAAGAAAAAAAAAGAAAATATAAGAAATAAAATAAAAAATGAAAAAAAATGCATAATAATAATAATTAATAATACCAATAATGATGCTTCTTGCTCAACTTTACTACCCTACACTGAAGCAAACGGCATATCCGTCGAATGGGACACATATCAAGAGATTTAACTTAAAACATACACCTTATTATTTTTGGAAAATGATTCCAAAACGATTATTAGAGAACTTGTCTTTTTGAACAAATAACAATCCTCATTCACAACTGTCAACTATGGTGTTAAAAAAGGTCATTAGCAGCCTATTTGTTCACGAATTGATTAAAAAAAAATTTAAAATTCCAAAAATCCCAAGATTTAAATAAAATTTAACAAAAAATCCCAAGATCCAAAGGTGTCATTAAAAATCCCAAGATCTTGGGATAAATCCCAAGCAGTGGTCATAGTGACTCAGGTGACACTATGAACAGTAAAATGATCCGTTGCGCGTGCGTCATCGCGTTGCGATCTGCACAGAATCACGTAGGCAGACGACCGTCGGCACAGTGAGTGCCCGGCTGAGAGAAATTAATTTTCAATGCAAAATATATGATATACCACTCTTTGTATTTGTGTAAATTTTTCATGTAAATTTGAATTCGATAGGCCCTATTACCTAATATCTACGGGCAATCACATGAGTGGGTAGCCGAATATGGAGACTGTAGTGCACCGTGTAATGGAGGTAAGGGTGGAACGAGGATTATTTATACCATTCATCTTTATTAGTATACTGCGCTTGCGTAGGTAGGCTATACTCTATGCTATGGCGGTCTAATTCCTCTGTAATTGAATGTGTTAAAATTCTTCTGTAAAATAGGTTAAGGTTCTTCACGAATTCGTGTTCCAACTACTCGTCCATCTGATCAGGGAGTTGGTAATTGAACCTATGTTCTGACAGATGACCAAATGGCTGATAGCAGCTTATCCGATAATGGACTATGTTTAAAGTAATTTTTGGCCTAGTTTCTGCAGCATACTCATGCTCCTGTCTTGCTCCTATCATGAGCCTATTTTTAGTATGTTTGACTAAATCAATGTATAGCGAAATCATGATTTTCTATATACAAAATATTAGCTTGTACAGAGTATAATATTAAATTTTTATTAAAGGTATCGAGTTTCTGAATAAGGTGTGTTATTCAACCGGTGTAGATCGACAAAAAGTTGCCGTAACCTACTGTGAAGTACCTGCAATTCCTGAATTACTTGCTCCGAAAACGCGCCCATGCAATTCACAACCGTGCTCAAGTAAGTGCAAATTACTACATAACATACATAGCTAGACGATCCTGCTACTTGTGTTATATAGCAATTAATGTAATAATATTATTGTATTATGAGACAAATAAATCTTGTAATATATGGCACTGTGAACAAACTAAACTGAAGGGCAATATTCATAAATAAAACGTATTATTATTATTATTATTATTTATTTATTTATTTATTTATTTTACTATTACTACTACTACTACTCGAGAGAAGGTCGCTTTTGGCGCCTTTCATGAGAACGAGTACTTGGGCGGATCCATATATAGTTGTAGGAGGGGGGTCTCAGAAAGAAAAGGGCACTACTGTACATAACGTGGGAGGAACATTCTACTTACTGTCTTGTCATTCTTTTATTTTCTGATAGACTTGTGTAACTTCAAATAATAATTTCAAATATAATAGTTTGCTTGAAAATTATCCTATGGATGTTTAGAGTAAATAAGGTTGTAGAGCCCAGTCGGCCAAATACAAGATCCTAAGGCATAATTTTTTGAAAGACCTTTGCAAATGAAAGACAATTTACCTTTTATATAAGGAAGAGGTGAGCTAGTTCAGTCCGCTAAGCTGGTGGTAGCCATTGCCGTGTGTAAGCTAAACCATGGGGATCTGTTGGACCCCGGTCCAAAACCCATCGCTGCTCTCCTAATGTTTCAGCTAGAGGGTTGAAATGCAAGTTTTGGATGAGACGTGTAAGCCGTTGGTCCATATGCAAAATGGCTCATGTGCACGTTAAAGAATGCAGTACACTCAAAGAAAAAGAATAGATGATTATATCACGGTGTACTGCCAAATTCACCACCAGAAGGACCCCATTTGAAGTAAGTGGGTTATCCTTGGTGTGCATTACACCTAAAAAATCTGAAAAACCAACCAATAATTTTGGTTAAAGCAGGAAAGATACTGATAAAGAATAATTATAGTAAAAACTAGTGCAGTAAATGCTAAAATGTGATGGATGTAGAAATTTACTTTTTATTTTAGCGGTTAACATGGCCACTGAAATGGTACTTTACGCTTGCATAAATATTACTCTGCTCCTTCCACTGTACTGTACTAACGTCGTTTGAATTCTGGCATGTGTTGCTTTCGAAGTATGACACAAGTCCTCGTCCAATATTAATTAATTCAGTAATTTAATTAACATAAATAGGAACCCAAAATATGCCCTTAATGGTAAAACACGTAAAACAATGGTGCTACAATATATTTTTTCCGGATTTGTGCACGCGTTTGGGCGTTAAATCTTCACAAACATTTGGTCCTTATAAATTACTATACCGTAGTTGTTGTTATTGATGTTGTTATTGCCTGTCTTTAAACAAGTGTTCTTTCTATTAAATCTTTATTTTTAGTGTGCGACAGAGAATATACTGGAGCGACTGGTGTTTTGACGTCTCCGTATTGGCCAGAAAAGAATGCTATACAGCAGTTCTGTCGTCTTAAAATACAAGTTGAGAAATCTAAAAGAATTCTTATAGCTTTCCAAGAATTCATTCTGGAGGGACTTCAGCTGGAAACAAATATGGGATTAACAGAAAAGAGCGTTTGCACATGTGGAAATTTAGTTGAGGTACAACTCTATTCAGACAATGTCAACAGAAGTAATAGGCCTATTAAAATTGTTTTTGCCCGGCCTTAAAAATACAATTTATTGCAAAATACAATTTTCTTTTGCAGCTCTCTGATATGACTTCATCTCATCGTGTAACTAGCTACTGTGGTACAAAGCAGACTTTCTCCTGGGTTTCTGAATCAAATGAAGTGCAATTAGATTTTGTCACAGACTCTAACCTGGTTTTTAATAGGTTTGAAGCAACGTACAGTACATTAGATGCTGTCCCAAGTAAGTTTTTGAAAAATACCTTTTCAAAATAAAAATTTACAGTTTCAGACCCCTATTGGAGGCAATTTATTTTTATCACACTCCAAGATTCAAGTTTATTGTCCTTTGTGTTTCTTCAGGCCCGTATCCATTAAAAGGGGAAGAGGTTGTTTTGCGATGGTGTGTACGCACCATACATTGGAAAAGGTCCACACTTTTAAGACACTCTGTACTGACGAGTACTGAATAAATAAAAAATGTCTTTAATAAAAATGAAAAGGGAATCTTAAATCTTAACACTTTAATTAGCAGCATATCGTTAGACCAGTATTTGGGTTTGAAATAGTAACGGAAAATCGAATTCGCGATCCAACCGGCTCTGCTCTCCACTGTTGGTCCACCTTTGCTCACCCCGCACCTCCCACCAATCCTTGAAACGGCCATGTTGTTGTGGAGTGGAATTATAGCTTGGTGGCTAAGATGTTTGTCGTTCAATTTAAGGTCCTGTCAATGTTACGATCAAAAAATACTTCTCCTTAAGCCTCATAGGGAGACTTGTATAGTGTTCTATAGTGTACATGCCTTGTCATAATTTTTTGTTTCAAAACATAGAATATAATAAATATAGCGTAACGGTAATGAAACTCAAATACGTAAGATTTTGACTTTAGCAACACTAAAATTTATTAGGCGAATATTTCGGCTACTCCTATAGTCCTTGTCAACGTTTGGTATAACAGGAACCTAGTACATCCTGCACAGCTGATAAGGCTAGATAACGGCAAGATGAAATGAAAAATAACTGCAATACTTTAAATATAATATGTATGCGTATATAGCTTATATATATATATATATATATCTTTATATATATATATATCTTTATATAGGGCCTACATATAAGTCTCGTAAGATTTTCGTAGGACGCGTTAAGAATGACAAAATATTCTCTGTATCTACTGGAACCGAGCCACATAGCTTGTATTCCACTATTTGCATTCACACATGGGCTTTGTATATATATTGCCTTGGTTTGGCTCTGTAATCATTAGTGGTCGTAGGACTAGTTTGGGCCCTACCTAAGCTGGTCGAACGTTTCGTTTGGGTCTATACCCTAGCTGCACTGATGAGGCCTGGAAGGCCGAAACGGATCCGTCTGCAGATATTGGGATTCCTTCCAGTGGATGCTTAGTTGATTTTGTATATATAAGTATATATAAGTATATATGTGTATATATATATGTGTATATATAAGTATATGTATTTTTATGTGTATGTATGTGTATATATTTGCATGTATATAGATGTTTATTTATTTATTTGAACATACACCTTTGAATCGGTGGCACTCGATATCAATTGGTGCGTTCGTACAAACAAAATAGGGTAAAATTTAACAAACAAAATATATAATAATCGACTGTATAAAAATTAATATTACAAAATTAAAGAAAGGTAGAAAAATAACATATGAAATTAGATGAGATCACATCACATTTAATACTCAGAAATACTTTACATGTCAACTGTAAAGTAAATGCTTAAAATAACTAACCTAAAAATATAAAATCTAAAGATGAAAAAGTCTTACAACAAAAAGATATCAAAGTAGACCTACTAAACTTAAGGAATACAGACTACGATGTAGAGTCCACTTGTGGGGGGGGGGGGAAATTAACATTATACAATTTGATAAGCAACAATACATTTACAGTAAACTAATGTTGTGAATTTTTTAGTTGTGAGCGTTTCTCCCAAGCATTCATGACGCATTTTTTACAGAAATTATCAAAAATAGAGGTAAATTCATCACAAATAAAAACTGAATCTCCTCCTAAAACATATTGAAGTTTAATATCGTCATTTGTTGAGTGCGCTCGCTTGCCGTCTTAGTATATTAACGTCTTTGAAGAAATCAATTATTCATGACCACTAAAACAAGATCCTAGTTTTCATGTTATCTCGTTCAGTTATTTCTATAGTTGTGTATGTATGTGTGTATGTATGGGTGTATAGATAGATGTGTGTGTGTATGTATTCTATAGATGTGTATGTATGTGTGTGTATGTATGTATGTGTATATATATACAGTATATATATATATATATATATTCCAAGTATCATATGATTAGAGGGTGGAGTTTTTTCAACTCCACTCCATTATAATAAAAACAACATTTGTTATATTTACTTAAGATCTAAATGATTTTCTCCAGGTTGCTATTCCTTTATTGATATTACCAGCGAGGTTAACCTTCGGCAAGGATTCATTACATCAGATAATTTCCCAGATTACTACAATAACGATCTACACTGCGAATATGTGCTGCATGCGGATCCCCATCATAGAATAGTTTTGTATTTTGACCAGTTTAACTTAGAACCCAGTACATCCTGCACAGCTGATAAGCTAATGGTGAGATAAAATGAAAAGTAACTGTGCAATACTATATAACTCTACACTAATTTTGTATATATAACATAAACTATTATTACCAATATGTAGTTTTATAATTTTGTACTTTTATTAATTTTTTACTAATACTATACTTTTATCACTAATACTTATAAAATTAATAATAATAATAATAAATGAATTAATAATAATAATTAATTAATAACATCAATTAGGCCTATTACTATTGTGCTATTGTTCTATACTGTTATTACAATACATATTTTGGCATACAATAAATATTATTAATATCATTTCAATTACTATACTATATTGCAATCACTAGAGGGTGCGCTCGCTTGCCGTCTTAGTATATTAACGTCTCGATTAGATAGAATAAATCAATTATTCATGACCACTAAGACAAGATCCTAGTTTTCATGTTATCTCGTTCAGTTATTTCTATAGTTACGTATCGGGAATTCAGGGTTTAAATCATGTTTTATGATTTACAAAACACGTTTCATTGACTTAGACTTAGCGCAGCATGACCCCTGTCCGTTTTCAGATAAACTTTTTTACTTGGTTTTCACTTTTTAAACAGTAGCACACACAAAATACTGGTGCGTCCATAAAACATACAAATTAAAAGTTGAGCAAATAACGATAATGAGTTAATTTAATACATAGCTTACTTAATTTCAACATAATAAATAATAGTAATAATAATAGTAGTAATAGTAGTAGTAATAATGATAATAATGATAATAATAATGATAATAATAATGATAATAATAATAAAATAATAATAAAATAATAATAAAATAATAATAAAATAATAATAATAATAATAATAATAATAATAATAATAAATGTATTTTAAAAATAATTAAAATTAAATTAAAAATTAATAAATAAAATTAAAAGGGAAACTCTACACATCGCTTTTGAAGTTTAGTAAGACAATCATACCTACTTTAATTGACAATATGTTGTTTCTAAATATATATATATGCATGTGACCTCAATTGCGCAAATGAAGCTCCATCGAGAAGACTGTCGAAAACACTGTCCGTCGGGGATAATAACGTGCTCTTTACAGTTACAATTCTGCCTAGGATTTTTTCCGTTTAAAATTCAGCATGGCATCTGTAAGTTATATATTATACGTGATATCTTTATACAAGAGAGGATAGATCTATTTCCCCAAACAACCCCCCCCCCCCCCCCCCCGCCCTTCTTTATTTTAACCTTACTAGGACAATGTCAAATATTTTTTTGAAATGAGTAATTCATTATAGAATATAAAATGTTTATTTTATTTTTTCAATAATACGAATGATTTATATGTGTAAATAAAAGGGACTTAAGATTCGATCATTTATGCAAATACTACATAGGTTGAAGATTTGTTATCAAGACGTTCAGAAACGTATTGTGGTATAATGCCACAGTTTGCATGGATGTCCGACAGCAATGAAGTGAGGATACAATTCTTGACCGATGATTCGCAGAAATACCAAGGATTCATTATTGGCTATGAAGTTAACGACAGACCTCCTGCTTCTGGTATAACAGCACTTTTTAAATTTATTTAGTTAAATAATAGTTAAATATCAATTGTCACATGTCTTAAATATATAATTATCGTGCCCGTGTAATGAGTACAGTTGTAATACTAATTATACAATCATGAATAACTGACTGGTAATATTAATAGTACTGAAATTCATCTTATTAGAATTCAACGTTGAAATGATTGATGTTTCCGGTACATTTACAAGTCCACATTTTCCAGCCGCCTATCCTGCAGATGCTGAAGTCCACTACTATATACAAGTTCCGGCGGACCAATACATTTTAATCCAATTCAGAGACTTTTGGTTAGAGAGTGAAGACTCGTTCTCTTCCCCGTTTACGAGTAGAGTGCGTCGTAGTACCAGTACTCTGTCGAAACGCCCCTATGAAACGTTTTCTTGTCCAGATAAGATTGTTGTATGTACTTATTTTACGTTTCCATTATAATTTAACTTCGTATGACCTACTGGAAATATCGTAATCATTACCCATACTTAGATGAAAGGTGTAACTCATGTATACGACAATCCTGTAAACTAATAGATTGTATTTATTTTTGTAGGTAAAAGATCTTTACTATAGTAACTTTTTATTGGAGGAGTACTGTGGTCATCAGCAAGAGTTTACTTGGATATCTCGAAGCAACGCCGTGATTGTGACCTTTACCTCTGATTCAGACGAAGAATTCAGAGGATTCAGAGCTACGTACAGATCACTTCAAAGAACACCCCCACCCGGTACTCATTTTAATGGTTCTATAATGCATAATACATGCATCTACATATATCAATAATTCAATCCCAAACTAGATCTTTTAAAAAGTTTTAAGATATCGGTGACAGCATTTAAGTATACATTTAGTTGACTAAATTTAAAAGCTTAATAGTTTGAAAGTGTGTGATTTTAAATACGTGTCGTTTCTACTAATTATTATTCTTTATAGAATGGGAGCTAATCTTCCGTAATGTTGCCGGAAATAATGAAGACACATACAGCCGATGGATAGACTCGAGAGCATATGGATATTTTCCCCCTGATATTAAATCTACACAGTATAGGGGGCTTTACAAAAGTGACTTGATGTTGGATTGGGCCGATATAGGAATCAAGAGGGTAAACATTTACCGTATTGGTTTTAATTGAGTTTTAAATTTGAAGTTCTTACATACATACTTTAAAATCAAGGCACAAATTTTTTTATTGCCCTACACAGATAAAAATCAACTTGTATAAAGATGGTGTTGGAGTTAAACAGTTCAGATTTTATGCCGAGGAATCAACGAATAATGATGATTGGTTTACATGCGAAAATCTGATATATAGCCCTTACACAGATCTCAGGGAATGTGATTTTACCGGCAAGAACCGTCGAGAATTTTCTTTACCATTTGAAATTGAGTGAGTATATAAAATGAGTATAAATACATATTTGAACTTTACTTAGTATGTACTGAATATAAGTTGAACTTATTGTTTTCATTACTACATTAGGGATGGTCATGCGTCCGATTCAAATTGCTCATATGGTAAAGTATGGTTAGATTTGGAGGACGTTTCGTCAGGCGTCGGTAGTTGCTATTATGAAACTACAACTAGTGGACGACCGTACTTTGCTTATAGCTCACGTAACACCGCCGGAGATACATCTACTGGTAATTGTAAAGTTTCTGTTTTTACTGAGGAGATTCCTCAATTAAATGTCCAAATTCATCTTTAATGATGTTCACGCGTCCGATTCAAATTGCACTTTTGGAAAATTATGGTTAGATTTGGAGGACGTTTCGTCAGGTGTCGGTAGTTCCTATTATGAAACTACAACTACTGGACGACTGTAGTTTGCTTATAGCTCGCGTAATACCGCCGGAGATACTTCTACTGTTAATTGTAACATTTCTGTATTTACTGAGCAGACTCAATTAAATCTCCAAATTCATCTTTACGGGCGCTGTTCATGCTGGGCCCTTGATTAAACTAGTATTATTTTTGTTCATTGTTTAAGGTAAAATAATATTAAATGCAAGATATATTTGTGTAAAAAGTTGATGATTGGATAATTTAAATATAATAATGAAATATTGAACTAGTAGGTTCCAAATTTTTTCTTTAAACTGTTGACATAATTGGTGTTTTATAAAATAAGACTTACAAACTTAGGCTGTAATATTTAATTTAAATTTATTTGAAGCGTCTGCGCGTCTCAATACACATTTGCTCAATTCGCTCGACACGCATTGGACATCAGAATATTACAATTAATTACTTTTCCCACAGGCGAAGGTATAGGCTTTGCGGATGTGTTTGGAATCTTCATTCAACGCGGTGAGTTTTTACCCATATTTTTTTAGGCAAAATATCGCTTATATCCCAAACAAGGACACGGAATCCAGTCTAGGTAAGTGGTTTTATTTTTTCTTATTACCATTAAAAGAAAATGTAAGAAAAATCTCCAAAGTTAATTGTCAATGTAGGCATTTTCATTGTCCTAATTTATAGATTGCCATGACTATGTCGACTTAAAAGCATCAGACACTTCAACTATCAAGTCACGTCGATCTAACGATCTTTATATAAAGGATGAGATCTGTGATATAACTGTACAGTTAAAACCCGATGAACGAATCTTCCTTCAGTTTAGTAATTTTATACTCCAACAGGGCGACTGCAACCAAGATTATCTTGAGGTAAAATATGGATTCAAAACGATTCTGGTGATGAGCACTTTTATTATGATTATATAATTGGCAACACGGCACCCATATGTTAGATAGATTTTGCGCTTTGACATTGTAATTTTATGTTTTCACAAACCTTAGAAATAAGATAAATATTACATTGATATTCAGGTAAATGAATTATATATAGGCCTATATGTCTATATTGTAGATTGAAGATGTACTAACAGGTGCTATTGACAAAGTCTGTGGAACACAGGAACAGGTTACGTGGACATCCTCTGGTAACAGTCTTCTCTTGAGATTTCGCACAGACTCAACGATCTCATTTACTGGTTTTGAAACAACAGTTTCGAAAGAATTCAGAGATACAGAAGGTATCATGCATTTTACTAATTGATGCGATTTGACGCGTTTTGGAGCTACTTGTAATATGTAGGTTTTTTTTTTTTTTTTTTTTTTTTTTTTTCATTATTAAGACAACGGAATCATGTAAACAACTGTAGGCGTTTACCATCTCTCATCATTGTCTACTCGTCTTTGCGTAGGTCAACACCGTCTTTTTACCAGATATCATATTTTTCAGATTTTGGTGATCCTATATGGTCTGTTTAGTTATTTTGGTCTGCAATGTAGTCATTTCTCTTTACGTATAATTAGTCTGGCTTAGGCTTTTTTTTAAACTATATTTATAAAGGGTGACCCTTCCAGCGTAAACTAGAAAGTCGGTTGACATCCAGGGGCCTTCTTCGAATAAATTAAATAATGTGATGCTTTTATCAGCGAAGTCTTTTATCAGTGAATCTCTAAGCAATTGCATTTTCCCCACCCACTAATGACACCTCTTCTTCATCAGGGTCAATTGTGTTTATCTGTGTAGGTAGGTGCATGATGTCACTGAATGAGGGAATATTTACAAAGTTTCGATGGGTCTCTTTTAAAGATGAGATAGTCCATTTGATTTTTATTATCTTAGTTCATTTTGCAACAAACAGAAAACAAGGAAAGTTTGCAAGAAACAGTTTATGCTCATTTGGTTTTTTTCTTTATTATAAACAGGGCTGTTACTGAGTTAATACCTTGATAATAGTAGCAAGATAGGATTTATTGCTTCACTTTTTTTTATAACAGAGGAACACCCATACACCTCTTACAACATTACAATCAAAATATATAAAATTACTAAATAAATCTAATGGTAACAAACAACAACAATCTTAATTTTTAATTAGTTTTAAAAGTATGTACTGTATAATTACATGGTAACAGTAAAACTATGTTTTTGCGAAGGGAATATTACTCTCATTATTATAATTAAGAAAAAAACTTAGTTATCAATAACAGTTTTTTTTATTATTTTTGATTTACAAATTTCTTTATTTTGGTATACATCATAAATATTTTCTAAAAGTAAATGGTGTTTAAATTTACATGAACCTTCTGCAAAAATGTTCCGGAAATACTTATAAATTTTACATATAGGTCTCTTTTCAAATTGTCAAAGCATGTGCTTCTTATAGAGGTTAAACTTTCAAAAAAAAAAATAAGAAAATTGTCGACCGTTGATATTTTATTATTTTTGACAAATAACACAATGGCCCGAGCGCGTATCTGACCATGCCAGTTTTTTTACCATCAAGGTCTAAACAAAATTCAATTTTCTACCTTTAAAATTCAATTTCCCAAAATAATTTGGTGCATTTTTGTATTTAAAATCTATCTGAATTATTCAATTTGGGCTCACAAATATGCTAATAATCCCGTTATATCAGAAAGTAGTCATGGTCCTCAAAATGCCGGGGTGTATGCTATACTGGCACTGGTGCACATACGCTAATGATAACAGGACGTTGTCATGTCATCTCTCCGAACAATGTATTTTTTAAGATGTGAAAATACATCCCATTGCTTCAATAAATAGTACCATTAAACATCGATGATACTTCTAGTGAGAATTAACAAATCAACACTAATTTCATTTTTAACATAATAGTAAAATGACAATAAAGGAGCATCGTATCGTAGAAAACATTGTCTTCTTTGTGGACTTGGTTGTCCTCTACCGTAATGTTAATATATTTGATTGGCTAAATAAATTGTATTCTTTTCTGTTGAAAAGTCTTTGTAAATTAGGTCTAGGTTTATAATAAATGTATAATAATAGAATCTTAACTCTCTTGATGCAGTATGTCGGAAATATACTTGTATTTCATTTCAGATTGCTCTGCTGTCAACTATGATGAACAAGGAATTTTAGCCACAACAAATACACCTATACCGACATCCAGTTTTTTTTTAGAGGATTGCTCCAATGTAATTCACGTACATCCAAGCCAGAAAATTGTATTAACATTCAATGAGTTTGATTACCAATTCGACGATTGTCCTCAGTTTAGAGTAAGTTACATGGCGGGTTTTGCACAAAGTAATAAACGTAACTTCAAAATGTCACAATACTGTATTTATAATTTAACAGAAAAGAGTGTTAACTTTAACTACCGGTACTGTATAATTATAGATCAATGATCGAGCCGATGATAACGGAGGAATAGACGTATACGGAAATCTTTACCCGTTTTCGTGGACATCTCAAAGTAACGAGTTCATTGTATCATATTGTGCTCTCACACCCTATCGCAATTACTTGGTGTATAATGCAACATATAGATCAATTTCAACTATTCAAGCTGCTGGTAAGTAAAACTTTGTTGAACTGTAATAACTTCTTAAAAAGATAATACTTTAATTACCTAATGGGTTTTATTTTAAGCATAAACTTGGTTTTCTTAACTCTTGCATTTTATTTTTATTAGCTGTTATATCATTCAAAGATGCCGAACGACCAGGTGTGTTTAGTTGGCCGCAAACCACAGCCACAACTACAGACTCATTTCTCATCATAAGGTCGCATCCTAACGATCTACAGCGGGTTATATTAACGATCAGCGATTTTGTCTTATCTGAGCAATCTTGTAGCAGCTTCATGAAGGTTAGTCATGTGTAGGTCTACTTGTAAATGTTTATATTTTCTCAGATGTGCTATAACTGACACTGTACTTAAAATTCAATTGATTGACATTCAAGAGAAATATTTAACCAGATAATAAAGCTAATTATATATAATTGGCTTTGTATGTGTATCAATGGGATGGGATACACATTATACAAGTAATAATTGACTTTTAGCCCACTTCTGTTCTAGTAGGTTTCAAACGTCATTATGAAGAAAAACGGACGAAATCTGATCATTTTTGAAGATATCTGACCACCTTTGGTATATTAAAAAATTAAAAAGTTTTGATGATTAAAATGTTTCGATCTTCAATGTACGGTATTAGATATAGGCCTAAAACAAATTGTAGTTTAGAAGTTTGTTTGCCATTCTTAGGCCTCTTTCACTTGCTTGTCCACTGTTATACAGGCAACAGACCTGCAAGCCTGGGTAATTCTGCGCGTGAGTGGCCATGTTTCCTAGGCACTTGCGTATCTAGGACCTTAAAATTGGGAGACTGATGAAAGAGACAATGTGTAGTGGGAAGGCTCAATTAAGTGGGGGCGCTAGTTGACAAAAATATGATGAAATGTGATGATATTGCTTTCAAAATTTCCAGTGAAGCTTTTATTGCGAAGTGGTGCGCACCCTAGATAATTCCTATGTCTTACTTTGTTTGGGAAAAATGGATTTTACAGTCTGAAACAATTTTTTAAAACATTTCAGATAATTGATACAACCACTCAAAGACAATCAATGTATTGCGGAACCGAATACCAGCCATTCACCTGGACTTCTGATGCAAATGAGGTTAGAATATTCTGTAAAATTGGTCACTGCATTATAAGCATTGCATTTAAATGTGCTAATATGTTCTTTTTTTTACATACTTTCGTTATAGGTCCTGCTTCACTTCAAACACAACAGTAATGAACAACATCAAGTGAATGCAAATTACCGCAGCTATCCTCGTACACGGTTTGACTGTAAGTATGAGTTTTTTATGGCTATTGTTACCGATTATTTTATGGATCTATCAAAAACCTTTAACAATATTAATTATATCATTCTTATATCGAAACTTAACCATTATTGTATAAGAGGTCTCCCACTTTCTTTACTTTCAAATTACCTTTATGACAAAAACAGTTTACAGGTTTTAATTCTCATAGTTCTACCTTACTGCCGGTATCGTGTGGTGTACCCCAGGGATCTACCTTAGGACCGTTATTTTTTCTTTGTTATGTTAATGATATCTCAAATTCTTCGAAATTATTTAATTACATATTATTTGCAGATGATACTAATATTTTTCTTTTTAAAAAAAAATTAACAAATATTTTAGATTGGTTCAAAGTAAATAGATTATCGTTAAATATTGATAAAACTAAATTTATATATTTTTGTAACCAAAGAAAAAATCCCAGTTTGACTAATAACTTTAATATTAAAATTGATAAACGAAACTGATCATACAAACTTTCTTGGTGTCGTAATTGAATCTCAACTAAATTGGAAACAACACATAACAAAAATATCCAATCGGGTATTAAAAAAAAATGTAGGCGTAATACGGAAACTCCAGCATAGTTTACCATCTAACATTTTATTTTCTTTATACAACACAATGGTTCTTCCTTATTTATCTACTGTAATTTGGTATGGGGTACGGTAACAAACAAACACCAACAATTATGTCCATGGGTTAGCACAGAAACAACAAAATTAGATCAACTCTTTAAATTACAGGAAAACACGTAGAATTTGCTTCAAGTCTAATTTTTTATCACATACTAAACAACTTTTTTTACATTTATAACTTTAAATATTTTTGACATTAATAGGCTTCAAACTGCAATATTTATGTATAGATAATAATAACTACCTCCCAGAATCATTTTTACAATTACTTTAAGAAACATGGTGAATTACACAATTATCAATACACTTACCTCTAATGATTACATTTTGTTCAAATGCCAGACAACTTTTAGCCGTAATTTTGTTAATTTGATTGGACCTAAAGTGTGGAATTCTCTTGATCAAAATCTTAAATCTGCACCATCTGTTTTAAATTTTCAAACTAAAAAATAAATAAATAAATAAAAAGAACATTAAGTTAATACAGTAATTATGAAATATGTAGCAACTACTGATTTTTTTTCTTTATTTTAAATAAATAGTGTATAATTGTTTAATTGTTTGTCTTTGTATTTTTTTTCCTTTATTTTGTAAGGGGTGGGCCGATCTTAAAACCTTATACCTTACTTGTATCAATGAACTATGTACAGTATATGTTTTATTTGATGATGTGTGGAAATAAATGAATTGAAAAATGAAAATTATTTTATTGGCATAACCTGACTACTGATTTACCAGGTGTGTACCATTTTGTTATTGCTGCTTATCAATAAAGTATATACAATATGTTTCCAGATTACAGCTTCTACACTCTAGATTCTACGACAACTGTTCGCAAAAGAGGAGCAGAACATTTGTATGTATCGTAAATATTCGATTACTATCTATCCTAAAGTAGTGTTCTTGGAGTGTTATTGGTTTGATTGGAGTTAATTAGCTTTCTAGTTGAGTCTTGTTTATAATATTAATAAGGAATAATGCGTCTAATAAAACCACACATTTTGGAGGCTTTTATAGCATGCTGAACCTGTTCGCCCCATTCCAATTTACAATATATAAATACAAATCAAGATATTTTTATGGATGATACTCTGGGTAATGCAATATTTATCCACTTTTTGGTATTTCAAAAAATAAGTTTTTTGCAATTTCTCTATAACGGCATCCACAACCAGTTTTATTAAAAATAAAAATAACTATTGGTGTTTGAAATTCTATTTGTTTCTTTGTATTACATTTTTATTGCAACAATTATACCATGGTATTCTAAAAAAAATATATGGATTATACAATAAATTGGAACAATTCACAATATTATCTTATTAATCTTATTTACATTCACAAGATCATTATATTTTATGTTACTCCTTTTACCCAGTGATTGCTGACAGTGATAAGTGTATTTTGTTTGAATATGAGGATTCCCCCATAGATTTGTACTTGAAATTTCCTCATTTATCTCTGGAGGTATATTTACGTCTATACAGAAATCACTATTTGTAAATCCTTATAATAATACTTTAATGTTTTAATATGCCACACAAACCTGGTGCATACAAATCTTGACAAAGATTGTTTTAGTGAACAGAAAAACATCTTAACATCTATTATTTTTATTGCACCGTGTTTATATGTTTTGCATAGGCCTATTGGGATCGACTTATTTTTGCCTGAATATTCCCTTGTAAATTTGAATAAAAGTGCAGTAAGACTTTACAATTACATTTGTCGGATTTGGTATTGTCAAAATAATATGGCCTATTTTTGGCAATAAAAACAATTTAACATTCCTAATGTTGTCGGATTTCGTCTGGACCACTGATACATGTATTTTTTTTTATTGAAGCTAATATTTTATTCTACTTTAAGGCTTGCGGGTGGAAGTTTTACCAGTCCAGGCTATCCTGAAAAATACCCCAACAACCATAACTACGAGGAATACTTGATTCATGCACCGCCCAGTTTTATTGTTGTCGTGACATTTAAAGCATTCAGCTTAGAAGATGAAACTGTTTCAAGCTTAGAAATAAAATGCGAGCATGACTATGTAGAAGTAAGCAAATACACAATACACAATTGTGTTTACCATGGGATAATTAAAGACACTTAGGCTAAGGTCTATATTTAAAAAATAGCATTACGGTATTTTAATGCATAACGATATATTTGTGTTGGATGCTAATAGTAACAGTATTAGTGTTGTAGCTTGGTGGCTAAGATACCCGCTTTCTAATGCCAATGTTTTGGCTTAAAGTCCTACCACACCAGAATATTTCCTTTACTATAGCAATCTTCATTCATGATACTTGTTTATGCGTATCATTTTGCTTTTTAAGACAGTACGGTTGGAAGGGGCTTTCCCCACCCCACTCCACCACTTCCCTGATCCGCCATCATTAGAACGGTCACCTTCTATTTATATGGTTAAAATTTAAATATTAATTGTATTTTAGTTATACGACGTATTAGGAGAACCGGTTGTATTTTGTGGAACAAAAACCCCGTTTGCTTGGGTTTCTACGGGCAACGAGGTTCTTGTCAAGTTTGTATCAGATTCGCACACTGTGAAAACGGGGTTTAGCGCCGAGTATCACTTCCAACCACGTCTTTCCGATCAAAGTAAGTAATCCATACTTAGTAAACGTCGAGATACATTATGAGAAAGGCAGTACATATATTAAAAACAATGTTGTTGATGTAATTTTATTGCAGGCTGTGGAGGTCTTTTTACAACAGATGTAGGTAATTTTTTTTCTCCCGGTTATCCACATCGATATGGCAATAATATTGTGTGTCAATACCGCTTTCAGACGGCTCCCGGAAAACATTTTACTATCAAATTTTTGCACCTTGACATTGAAGACCATGTTGATTGCGAGAAAGACTTTATTAACGTAAGTATAGGCCTACAAACTGTGGAAGAACGAATTTTGAATACTATATTTAAGTATAGCCTAGTTACTAACAGTTTTGTTGATTACATCTTTTTAAAGCTTTTTGATGTTTCAACGAACAAAGAAAAGTCTTTTTGTGGATTTAAACAAAATGCTCCGATGACGTGGGAATCTGACAGTAATCTGGTATTTGCAAAGTTCAAAAGCAATGACCATTACACATTTTCAGGATTTTTGGCCTCATATGAAGTTAAGGATATTGACAAAGCATCCGGTAAGTAGTTAATTGACATTATAGTTTGGTCAGTTTTATAAATGTTATCATATGGCAAGCAACTTACACTGCATGTTTAATCAAATTTTATTTCCAGTTGGAAATGAGACACAAAATGCAAATTCTGCTGTGATTATTTTACGAGCTTCCGCTGGCATATTTCGCCCATATTATCATTGTTTGGTTGCCAGTTGACAAAAAATCTGCCTCTATCCGCAGCTTGTGTTCAAAGTTTCGAGGGCATTACTGGACATATCTCTTCACCTTGGTTTCCGTTGCCATATCCGAACGATATCACATGCGTGTACACTATCAAAGTAGCAAAGGATTTCTTTATCAATTTGGCGTTTGAAGTTTTCGATCTCGAAGAGAAAACAGCGGACACAGATGTCTGTGGTTATGATTATTTGGAGGTAGGATGAGCATAGCTACAAAAGGTTAACATTTTATTGGCGTTGATACGCGTTTAATGTATCAGTTAACATTATCTTATAAGCAAATTATATTATTACGATTAGTTTTATTATTTTTGTTTGTATTGTACAGGTAAGCAATCCTTCAAATACCCAAGAAACTCAGTTATTATGTGGCAAGAAAAATGCAATCCAGATTGGAATTTCAAACAATATTGCCATCCTAACATTTCATAGTGATTTTATCAAAGTTGGACAAGGTTTCTACCTCACATATTCGCAAACAGATCAAATACAGCAAGTAACTACAGGTAGGCATAAAAGAATTAAAATGTGTACATATTTTTGGTTCTATCTTTATGCAGGTGTAATATGTAATATATTTAATTTATTACACAAGTTATTTATTTATTATGTCCTTTATTCAAACATTGTATTTACCTTTCTTTGATGATTTATATATATATATATATATATATACATACA